GTTCTTCCAAGTATCTAACCCTTTATAATACCTACGTCCTTTCATATGCAACCAAATTCTCTCTTGAGTTTTAATAGGTATAAGAACATGGCCCTCCATCACTCACGCTCTCTCTTCATGTGGGGAGGACTATCGCAATATTAAGTTTCATGGTGCTTAGTTACACAACGGCCTTCTAGTCACCAGGCTGCATAAATATTTGTTCTAATCTATACTTAAGAAATTATTTCCCTAAATTTTCTTGCTCTTAGTATCCTAAAAAGGTTTTTCCGGCCGGGCGCGGTGGCTCAAGCCTGTAATCCCAGCACTTTGGGAGGCCGAGACGGGCGGATCACGAGGTCAGGAGATCGAGACCATCCTGGCTAACACGGTGAAACCCCGTCTCTACTAAAAAATACAAAAAACTAGCCGGGCGTGGTGGCGGCGCCTGTAGTCCCAGCTACTCGGGAGGCTGAGGCAGGAGAGTGAATGGCGTAAACCCGGGAGGGCGGAGCTTGCAGTGAGCTAGAGGCAGGAGAATGGCGTAAACCCGGGAGGCGGAGCTTGCAGTGAGCTGAGATCCGGCCACTGCACTCCAGCCTGGGCGACAGAGCCAGACTCCGTCTCAAAAAAAAAAAAAAAAAAAAAAAAAAGGTTTTTCATTTTAAAAAAAAAAAAAAAAAAAAAAAAAAAAAAAAAAGGTTTTTCATTTTGATTTATATATACATAAATACATACACACACACACACACACACACATATATATATATATACTTTTTTTTTTTTGAGAGGGAGTTTTGTTCTTGTTGCCCAGGCTGGAGTGCAGAGTGGTGCGATCTCAGCTCACTGCAACCTCCACCTCCTGGGTTCAAGCATTTCTCCTGCCTCAGCCTCCCGAGTAGCTGGGATTACAGGCACCCAGGCACCCGCCACCAAGTCCAGCTAATTTTTTGTGTTTTTAATAGAGACAGGGTTTCACCATGTTGGCCAGACTGGTCTCAAACTCCTAACTTCAGGTGATCCACCCGCCTTGGCCTCCTAAAGTGCTGAGATTACAGGCGTGAGCCACCATGCCCAGCATATTTTTTTTTTCTTTGAGACAGGCTCTCACTCTGTTGCCCAGGCTGGAGTGCAGTAGCCTGATCACAGTTCACCCTAACCTTTAACTCTTGAGCTCAAATGATCTTCTCACCTCAGCCTCCGGAATAGCTGGGACTAAAGATGCCTGCCAACATGCCCGGCTATTTTTTTTTTGGTAGAGTTTGGGTCTCAAGTTACCCAGGCTGGTCTTGAACTCCTGAGCTCAAGTGATCCTCCTGCCTCGGCCTCCCAAATTGCTAGGACTACAGGTAGGAACCACCACGTCTAGCCTCCTAAAAAGGTTTCTATCAGTCTAGGATCCCAAACTACATGAGACTAGAGAGTTGAGCAGAGAATCCCTCAAATTGGTCACCCGATTCTACCTCTTCGATTCATGTCTGTTTTGCAGTCACAGTACTTGACCGATTCCCAGTTTCTGAGACCCACTGAGACCCCAGATCCTTAGCAGATATGTAAGTGCAAAGTCAATTCATTTCCATTTTTCCTAATGGGCCACAAATTCTTCCCTATTAGATGTATCCTATTTATTTGTTAGCCTCTGGTATTTTAAAAGTGTACATCATCACATCTTGACTCTAAATAAATGACACTGGGGTCTTATCAATAAAACAAATGGAAATATTTGCACAGTTAGCTTTTAACTCCTTGAGTTTCAGCTTCTGGACCCAAGATAAAAGTCATATTCTGTTGCAGCAACTCTTCTTTGCTAGAGATTAAGACAAAGACAGACAGACAGACAGACACACAGACACACACACAGACCAAGATTTAGCTTTTGTTTCTTGTTTTTAATGTCTGAAATGGAGTCGAACCATTAATAACCAGTTCAAATGACTTTTGTAGCACAACTCATTTCCTCATTTCCTTCTGTTAAAATTCCACCTTTCACCGGGCACGGTGGCTCACGCCTGTAATCCCAGCACTTTGGGAGGCCAAAGTAGGTGGATCACCTGAGGTCAGGAGTTCGAGACCAGCCTGACCAACATGGTGAAACCCCATCTCTACTAAAAATACAAAAATTAGCCAGTCGTGGTGGCAGGAGCCTGAAATTCCAGCTACTCGGGAGGCTGAGGCAGGAGAATTGCAGAACCCGGAAGGCAGAGGTTGCAGTGAGCCAAGATCGCGCCACTGCACTCCAGCCTGGGGGACAGAGTGAGACTCTGTCTCAAAAAAAAAAAAAAAAAAAAAATTCCACCTTTCAATGCATATCTTATTCTTTAAATCTCAACTATCTTGGGCACCGGGGCATCAGACGGCACCCTTGGCACCTTGGAAAGTCCCAGAAAGTTGTAGATGGAAAGTGGAAAGCTTGCAATTTCATCTACCCATAGAGATGCAAAGAAGCCTTCCTTTGAAGTTATTTTAAGAAAAAAAAAATCAATTAAGCACCATTTTCCTGGAAGTCAATGCTGTGACTAGGTGGTAACTGGTTCATATAATAAATGGGAGTTATCATGTAGGTTTAGGGTTACATTGGATAAAATGAGAAAAATGAAGATGCAGAGACTGAACTCTTCCTGAAAAAAAGAGCTCAAGGAGGTTTCAATCTTTCACAAAGCAGTTACAGAACCTTTTCAATCACTTCTTGAATACATTGGCCCCATTAATCCAGGAACCCAGAAATATCTTACAAACATCAATTAAGTCTGGCAACATGCTTTATTTACAAATAGGGAAACTTGGCTGTTTAGGGACAGAGAAGCCCAACAATGAGTCAGGGCTGCTGTGGGCACTGGACCCGGGCCTCTGGAATCTCCATCTCTGGCAGGGAGATGTGATCTACCTCTCAAGGGGATAAAATGTCCACATAAGAAACAGGTGGCAGAGAAGGAAGTGAATACACACTTGTTGGGATGGCGCAAGACAATGGATGGCCAACAGCACCCGTCTGAAGCTGGAAGGGAAGCTGACCCACCACCCCCAGTGTCATTTAATCAGAGGGAATATCAGCATTGCTGCAGCCCCTCCTTAGCAAAAACACTGCTCACCTTATGGCTTGTAAATTGATGCTGTGAGATACCCCACATCCATCCTCACATCAAGGCTAGTTTTATCTGATTTGAGTTCAGAAATGCCTGTTCATCTTTGGCCAGGTAAGTGCATCATCAGATATTCCATTTGCAAGCCTACATGCTGAAATGGAACCTACCCCACAGTAAAGGGAGCCTCCGAGGACAAACCCTCTGGCTTTTCCTGTCTCCCTCACAAGGGAAAGTTAAAAGGCTATGTATATCTAAAACACACAAAGCGAATCAGTGTGCTTCCTAAACTGCAGGCTTTTGGTGCTGACTGGCCTGCATATTTAAGATCTAACAAAGTAACCAGCTAAGCTAATCGAGGCTAGCTTTGGTATACTGGATGAATATAATCAAACGTTCCTTTGGGTGAAGTACTGCCCTTTCCGAACACCTGTGAAAGGGAACAAGTAATTCGGTAATATCATGGAGTGAATGGTTTTTGCCCCGTTTTTACTGCGGAAGTGAAATACCATGACACAATCTTTGGGAGCTACATCCACCAGGATTAGGACCAGAGAGAATAACTCTACCAACTCCAAAAAGAAACAATGCCCAGTTTTGCTCGGCCAAGGGCCCATCCGGGCTCCCTCCAACCCAGGGAAATATTTACTAACGTGGGGCCCAGGGCACACAACACTGTTGTAACATTCTTTCTGGAGGGGCAAATTCTCTTCACCAACCCCCCAGGCAAGTACAAGGTAGAAGGGGTTAGCAGTCAGGTGACAGCCCGCATACGCCATTCCCCTCCCCCAACCTCCACCCGCCCTGCATTGTAAAGGCGTTGCCCCCGGGGTTAGCCTTTAGGGCGGGGGTGTCAGCTGGTTTCATGCCTCCGGTTCATCTGCCCTGAGCCGTGGCCCAGTCATTCTGGGCTCGAAGTGTTCTTCCATTCAGTGAAATACCCAGGAGGCCTTCCACCCAAGCGAAGACGAGTATCAGACACGGACTACCACCCTAGTAAGAAGGCACCTGCCCATGTAGTTGGAATTCATCTCAAGTTTACTTAGTGCTTACTGTGTGCCAGACGCTGAGGGGCGTCCTGCAGATTCAAAAGCGCCCCAGGCCGGGCGCGATGGCTCACGTCTGTAATCCCAACACTTTGGGAGGTCGAGGTGGGCGGATCACCTGAAGTCAGAAGTTCGAGACCAGCCTGGCCAACACGGTGAAACCCCGTCTCTACTAAAAATACAAAAATTAGCCGGGCGGGCCAGGCGCGGTGGCTCACGCCTGTAATCCCAAAACTTTGGGAGGCCGAGGCGGGTGGATCACGAGGTCAGGAGTTCAAGACCATCCTGGCCAATCTAATGAAACCCCGTCTCTACTAAAAATGCAAAAAGTAGCCGGGTATGGTGGCGCACGCCTCTAGTCCCAGCTACTCGGGAGGCTGAGGCAGGAGAGTCGCTTGAACCCGCGAGGCGGAGGTTGCAGTGAGCCGAGATCGTGCCACTACACTCCAGCCTGGGCGACAGAGTAAGACTCCGCCTCAAAAAAAAAAAAAAAAAAAAAAAAAATTAGCCGGGCGTGGTGGTGTGCGCCTGTAATCCCAGCTACTCGGGAGGCTGAGGCAGGAGAATCACGTGAACCTGCGAGGCGAAGGTTGCAGTGAGCCGAGATCGTGCCGTTGCCATTTGCACTCCAGCCCGGGCGACAGAGACTCTTTAAAAAAAGAAAAGAAAAGAAAAGCGCCCCAGACACGGCCCCTTCTTCCAAAAAACCCCAAAGCTGGGAGAGCTGGGCGGGACAGAAGGGGAAGCCAGGTGACCAGCACTGGCCGAGGGCTCAGTCCCGAAAGGCCTTCCTTGACGCTGCCCGGCTTACTCTCGACGGGTCCAGCGCCCAGACCTCCCTGCCAGAGGGGTCCGCGCCCCCAGGAAGGGCCCTCCCCTCCCCGCCCGTACTCACTGCGTCTTCCTGCGGCCCTGGTCGCGGTGCAGATCCCGCAGGTCCACCTCGGCGCGGCCCAGGAACTTGTCGAGGCCAAGCAGCGCGCGGTGCAGCACGGTGAGCTGCAGGGTGGCGGCGGCCGCGGGCCCGGAGGACAGCAGCGGCGGCAGCTCGAAGGTGGCCTCCTCGCGCCACACAGGCGCGCCCAGGCTGCGCTCCGACACCGAGGTGGCGTACTTCTCCTTGCCCACCTGGATCACCGCGTACGCGTCGCTCGTGCCCCCGGGGCCCTTGGCCCGCAGGCCCCGCGCCTGCAGCACCGTCACCTGCACGTGGGTTGGGGACCACACGGCCCCCAGGCCCCGGCCCGCCGAGGCCATTAGGGACATGGTGACGATAACGCCCCAGACGCGAGGAGAAGATCGCGGCGACTGGCGGCCTCTACGGCCCGCCCCGGCAACCAGGCCACTTTAAGGCTTCCGGCCACACCCCCGCCAGGCCACGCCCCTCACGGCTAAGGCCACGCCCCTACCCGAGCTGCCTGCTCCACCTGCTGCGCCGCGCCGCGACCCGCCCCGCCCCACCGGCCTCCGCAGAGCGGGCAGCTCGGGGCAGCCGGGCGCCGCAGGCGGGGCTGGCGCGGCCAGGTAGGCGGGGGAATCACGTGGGCAGGGGCGGGTGCATCGAGAATCCGATCTGAGATGTGGTAGGTGACGGATGGTCCCCAGCTGCCAAAGGTCGCACGGCGGGAAGGAGCTCGCCGAAGCACTGGCTTGGAAGTCAGACCTCATTTCCTGGGTCACATCGCCAGTCGTGGCCTTGCGCGGGTTACCTAACGTCAAGTCTCAATTTCTTCACCTGACAGGCACCTCCTAGGATTGCTGTAAAAAATAGTAATAATAATGCATTACAGTTCTTGGCCCAGTGCCTGGCTCATGGTGAGTTGTCAGTAAATGACCATGACCAGCACGTTGAGAGGCTGAGACGGGAGGCTCTCCTGAGCCCAGGAGTTCGAGACCAGCCTGGACAACATAGCCAGATCCCCGTCAATACAAAAAAAATTAAAAATAATTAGATGGGAGTGGTGACAAGCGCCTGTGGTCTCAGCTACTTGGGAGGCTGAGTCTGGAGGATCTCTGGAGCCCAGGAGGTCGAGGTGCAGTGAGCTGAGATTGTGCCACTGCACTCCCAACCTGGGCAACAAAGCAAGACCCTGTCTCAAAAAAATAATGTTGGTTACTATGAGGGTGCTAAGGAAGATGCCCACCCAATTCATTACGCTTTCTACTTCTCCTGCTGGAAAGCCTGGCTCTGGAGGAAGGCAGCTGCAGAGGAAGGTGAGGACCTTGTGAGGGCCGGAAAAGGTGAAGGTATCCTGGGGGGCATGAGTTCAATGTGGGAGTGTTCTATTTTGCCCTCCCCTCACCAGATAAGGTGAGGCTGAGTTAGAAAAAGGGAAGAAAGGAGGAACTGAAAATGGGATTGCCAAATCAAACATCGGGACAGTGGCAGGCCCCTAGCCTGCAGTTCCCCATTTCTCCCTTGCCAGGCCCTCTTTAGTCTCTCCCTGCCTCTATCCCTGGACTCCCAGGCAGTCCTTTTCTTGTTCCAAATGCCTAATAGATTGGCTGCTTCCCTAAATTTCCTAGGTCCTAGTTCAAAGGCTCAACTGTTCAACTGAGTCATCAGATTGGAAAGGTCACTTGGAAGGTTTTAAAGTTTTACAGTTAAGGAAAGGCTCAGAAGAGAGGAGTGACATGTCCAAGGTCCCTCTGCAGAGCTGGGACTGGGATCCCAGTGTCCTGACTCCCAGTCAGCTGTTCAGTGCATCTCTTGATTCTTCCAGATCCACAGAACCCCAATCGTGGATGGCTACTCATGTCCCTCCAGTCTCCAGGCTCTCCTCCCTCTGGTCCACACTGCACATTGCTTCACTAACCTGCTGGCTGCCTCACCAGCAACCACATTATCTTCGGACTGAACAGAGATTTCAAGACATTCCATTTTGGCCCCACCCTACCTCATTCTCCTCTATCTCCCGAACAAGCAAACCTGTAGCCCAGACACTTTTTACCTCCAGGCCTCTATGTTGTACCCTTGACTGTCCTTGCCAACCTCTCACTGCAAGGGTTCACTCATATTTCTCCAAGATTTTACTTTCTATGCCCTGCTGAAGGCAGGGACCAGGCAGTGACTTATTCAACTTGTCTCCTTCACAGCCTCCAGCACAAACCTGGGTACACAGTAGGTACCCAGGAAGTGCTACTGAACTGAATAGTTTGCAGGTTAAGTCGGCCAACCATGAGGACCAAGTGTTTCCTTTTACCATGTAGGAAATTAGAAGACAGAGGTATGCCTCAGGTTTGCAACTGAAGGCAGCTGCAGTGCGGGAAGGACCTGTTTAGTATGTTGGAATTTTTCTTTTTTCTTTTTTCTTTTTCTTTTTGGAGACAGAGTCTTGCTCTGTCACCCAGGCTGGAGTGCAATGGCGCAATCTCAGCTCACTGCAACCTCTGCCTCCCGGGTTCAAGCAATTCTTGTACCTCAGCCTCCAAAGTAGCTAGGATTACAGGTGTACACCACCATGCCTGCTAATTTTTGTATTTTTAGTAGAAATGGGGTTTCACCATGTTGGCCAGGCTGGTCTTGAACTCCTGACCTCAAGTGATCTGCCCACCTTTGCCTCCCAAGGTGCTGGGATTACAGGTGTGAGCCACTGCACCTGGCCGTGTTGGAAATATGTAAAGGTGATGGGAGGAGCGGGGGAAAGGACCCAGCAGGCATAGAAGGGGCAAGAAAGCCTAACAGGACTGTGTTGTTTTGGTGCCATTTTCCCTTCTGGATGATCCATTATACTCATTCAACATTATGGCTCAATTGATTTCCATAAAGGCTTCTTGAGGCCAGATGCAGTGACTCACACCTGTAATCCCAGTGCTTTGGGAGGCCGAGGTGGGAGGATCACTTGAAGCCAGGACTTCAAGACCAGCCTGGGCAACACAGCAAGATCTCATTACTACAAAAAGATAAAAAATAAAACCAAAAATTAGCCAGGCATGGTGGTACGCACCTATAGTCCCAGCTACTCAGGAGGCTAAGGTGAGTGGATTACTGGAGCCCAGGAGTTTGACGCTACAGTGAGCTATGATTATGTCACTGCACTCCAGCCTGGGCAATAGAGCGAGACCCTGTTACGATTTATTGAGCACTTGCTTTGTGCTAGGCATGTGCCAGGTGCTACCAAGGGCACAAAGCTGAATGAGACTCAGTTCCAAGGTACTCCATCATCATCTAAAAGAAATCCTGATTACTATGATGCTTTGGGTGTTTTGAGGAAAGAGCGATTTCTGTTTGTTGTTGTTTTTTGTTTTTTTTTTTTTTGAGACAGAGTCTCGCTCTGTCGCCGGGGCTGGAGTGCAGTGGCCGGATCTCAGCTCACTGCAAGCTCCGCCTTCCGGGTTCACGCCATTCTCCTGCCTCAGCCTCCCGAGTAGCTGGGACTACAGGCGCCCGCCACCTCGCCCGGCTAGTTTTTTTGTAGTTTTAGTAGAGACGGGGTTTCACCGTGTTAGACAGGATGGTCTCAATCTTCTGACCTCGTGATCCGCCCGTCTCGGCCTCCCAAAGTGCTGGGATTACAGGCTTGAGCCACCGCGCCTGGACGCGATTTCTGTAAGTTGGTGGATTTTTGTGAAGGAGGAGGGGCTCAGCTGGGCCCTGAAGGATGTATCAGATTTGACAGAAAGAGGAGTAGACATATGAGAAGAGCGTTGCAGGAGACAACAGGAGAACAGCCTATGCAAAGATATGGGGACCAGAGAGTCGTGGCGTTTCCAGGTTTCACATACGCCATTGTGACTGGAGTATAGGATGCTTTAGGAGGCCACTGAGAATGAGTGGTAGAAATAAGACAGAAACAAGACAGGCTGGTCTCAGACCATGAACACCAGGCTAAGGAGTTTATGCCACAGTGTGAGACCGGGGAGCCAGCCTTCAGAGAACTTTGAGCAGTGACCTGGTTAGGCTATTCTCAGATTGCAAGGAGATATGAGCAGAAGGAGCCCAGCAGCCAACAGCTTGGCAGGCAGGTCACAGCCAGATGCCTTCATTCATTTTCACCTGGGGATTGTCTGCCTTCTGCCCCAATCTGCCTACCCCTTCCCCATCTTGGAGTCTCTTCTAAGTTGGTACTGAATTATATAAGAGGGTATACACTTTCCTCTTGATTATCCTACCTGTCCAATGTTCTACTACACACTAGCCGAACAAAGTCATAGATTTCAGTTCAAAACTGACCTGGGGAGGTAGGGCACAGCGTCTCACACCTGTAATCCCAACACTTTGAGAGGCCAAGACTAGAGGATCACTTGAACCCAGGGGTTCAAGACCAGCCTAGGCATCATACTGAAACTCTGTCTCTATAAAACAAACTTCAAAAATTAGCTGAGTGTGGTAGCGTCCACCTGTGGTCCCAGCTACTAGGGAGGCTGAGGTGGGAGGATTGCTGGAGCCCAGGAGTTCAAGGCTGCAGTGAGCTATGATTGCACCACTGCACTTCAGCCTCGGCAACAGAGTGGGACCTATCTTTAAAAACAAACAACCAAACAACAGAGCCTAGGAGGAAGTTTTTCAGCTCTAGTCCCCCGCTCCTCTCCAACACTCACATTTTTAGTGCTGCTCCCCCAATAAAGAGAACAAGGCATAAAGCCTAGCTGGACAGCCTCCCCAGCTGAGTATGAAACAAAGCCTGTCTTCCACTCATGGAAAGGATTAGAGGACAAAGAGGGTGGGGAAGGACCTGTGACCTCATGTGTTTGAGTTTCTGTGAGACACAAATAGACTTTGGTGAAAGCCGATGTGGTAGTTTGGAGGCGGGCATAGCTGCCTCACCACCCAGGAGAAATCCAGACCATTCTCATCAGACACTGGCCACTGGCAGGGGTTAGCTCAAAGGAGTGGGGGCTTCCCAAGGCAGGAACTGGAAATTTTTCAGAGAAGAGAGCGGCCGGAGCCCCAGCACCAGGTGTGCCGCAGAGCTGCCTTGCTGCCTCCAGCTGCTTTGGTGGCTGTTTTTTCCCCTCCACCAGCCCAGAGCACATTGTCCCCATGACTCTCTGCCCAGGAGTCACTGTCTTCTCCCAATTTTCCAGACCCAGAATCCAGGCTGGGGGATGCACAGGGACAACAGCAAGGGCAGTGACAAGGTGGGCACCCTGCAGGCCCCCGGCTCCCCGCCAGCCCTGGGAAGACTCCACCGTGGCCGACCCTCCCCGCTCCCAAAGGCCAGGCTGTGCTGGCTGGCTGAACCCGCGCAGGGTCACTGAGTTCCAGGAGTGTTTGTAAATACCTCCTGCAGCCAGGGTGCAGCGGCGGGACAGGACAGCTGCTCCCTCCTCCCACCCTGCCCCGCCTCTAGCTCGGACTGAAAGAGGAAGAGTTTCAATCAGCCCTGAGCACGTGGACAAGCCTGGCAGGTTAG